GAGATACAACTATTTGAAAATCTGGAATCTGAGCGTGCAAAAAAATCTGAATATTGAGAAAATCATCTTTAAAGTTGTTCAAATGAAGTTCTTAGCAATGCATATTACTAATCAAAAATTAAGTTTTGATATATTTACGGTAGGAGATTTACCAAATATCTTCATGGAACATGATCTTTACTTAATATCCTAATGATTTTTGGCATAAAAGAAAAATTAATAATTTTGACCCATACAATGTATTGTTGGCTATTGCTACAAATATACCCCAGCGACTTAACACTGCTTCTGTGCTGCAGGGTCACTTATAGGTGTTGAAACTGTATAGGATAATCTCAACTAAAAGAATATTAACAAAGGGATTAATCAACTTCCACCAGAATCGTATCACCTTTCCTGCTGCTTCAATGGAGGTCAGAAACTCCTCCTTCATGTCATCCAGGTCCTCAATGAGATACTCATTAACAAAGGTCTTCTCCTTCAGAGTGTCCAGCAGAGTTTCTACTTTCTCCCAGAACTTCTGAAGCTGAACCAGAATCTGCTGGATTCGAGAAAGACACTGCTGGACGTCCTCCAGGTGGACAGGACTGGGAATCACACCTGGACAAACAACAGCAGATCAGAGAAATCAATGTGTGCCTTCAGACCATTTAGTGGTGGACATACATCATTAGAACGCTAGTATTTCCAGCAGCTAGAAATGGTTTAAAGTCAGTTATTTCTATCTTTTGCTGTAGTGTGTCGGTCAGATCTGATCATCAGCAGTCTGTCTGGAGGGACATGAAGAAACAGAACAAACTGAGACAGACTCGATCCAGAAGAACTGATGCTTCAAGAAACCTCCTGCAAAGCTCCTGAGAAACTCTGCTCAAGTGCACCGAGGGCAAACACTGCTTTAAACGCAAAAGATGCTCGCACCAAATGTTGATTTCATTTAGTTAATAGAAGTTAATTGATCTATTTATGACAGCATCCTCATTTTAAAGCATTTTTCATTTCAAGTGCCTAAAACAGTGCTGTAGCTTTGCAGGAGGTTTCTTGAAGCGTCAGTTCTTCTGGATCGAGTCTGTCTCAGTTCTGTTTCTTCATGTGACTCCAGACAGACTGATGATGATCAGATCTCTGTGTGGAGCACAGAAATCTCACTGGATTATTACAATTAATGGCTAAATGAATGCTTGGAAATGTAAACTGATATTTCCTACCGACACACTACAGCAAAAGATAGAAATAACTGACTTTAAACCATGTTTAGCTGCTGAAATGTGAATTTAAGAGCATAGAAAGTCTCTCACCCAGCTGTATTTTGGAAGTGGCCAACTTCAGCTGAAGATCAGTTAGTCTGACTTGAATCATCCACTGTTTGCTTTGCAGACTGCTCTTCTCCGAGTTGAGACAGGACAGGTCGGCGTTGAGAGATTGAGTTTTAGCAGCGATCGCAGGGGTGGTTATCATATCTTGAACGAATGCAAAAAATGGCACCAAGGCCCTCAGGATACCGAAGCGGTTTTTGCTGGAATTTGTGATGTGATTCTGTAGCTCGCGGTTTTTGTCTTCAATTTTTCTCTCTAATTCCTCCATATTTCTGTTGTGTTTCCTCAGCTCCTTTTCAAGCTTGTCCACGGCCTCCTTCAGACTCTCCATCTCCTTAGTGTTGCTCGTTATTTTTCCTTCGGTCTCTTTCTGCTCTTGAATCACATCACTGGTGCACGTCGCCACACTTCGGTTTTGTTGATCATACCTATGGTGCGTTTCAGATAAATGATTGTACGGTGATTGTGTGATATATAGCACTGCAGTACATCATTGTGTATAAGACGTGAGTGCTGTTTCATTTCATTGTGTTTGTTAACAACTTTTAGGCGGTCCAGATTTGTGCTTGTTTTGCAGTAAAATAGTCTAAAAATCCATAAAACGAGACCTTTATGCATCTCGAGTAAATTTATATAAGAGATTAAGAAAAACATATATATATATTTTTTTTAAGTTTATGATTAAAACAAGTAAAAACTTCTTTTATGCAGTTTTGCTTACTGTATCATGTTGTTTAGATATTTAGAAATGCTGATTAAGAAAATGACTGTTTGATGTGAAATACTAAACTTCCCACTCTTAAGGTATTTTCATTATTGGTTCCCCAAAGAACCTTTCAGTGATCAGTTCTTAAAAGAACCCTTTTTTATTAGTTTGAAGAACATTTTCATAATCTAAAGAACCTGTTTTCACTATAAAGAACATTTTGTCCAATGGAAAGATCCCATGGATGTTAAAGGTTCTTCATGGAACCATCAAGTATTTTTCTATTGTTTTCACCTCTTCACCATGTCATCCACAGATCTAATGATGTCACTGATCCATGTTCTGGCTTTCTCCAGGTACCTCACAGCCAGAACGGGTTTGTTCTTCTCAACCGCCGTCATCAGCATGGGGAACAGGGAGGAGACCAGGTTGGAACTTGTGCCAACACACTGTAAGAAAACAGCATTTAAGTGAATTTAAGAAAAGAACAGTAAAGACATTTGTTGGTTCAGTGCATTGGTATCAATGGAAGCTTCTGCCACTGAATACAAATATAAAAAGGTACAATAATTGCAGCTCAAATCGCACAATTCTGTTTTTTTTTCTGGCAATTCTAAATTTACATCTCACAATTTTGACTTTTTCCTCTGAATTCTGAGTTTACATCTTGCAATTTTGACTTTTTCTCTGAATGGAGTTTAGATCTCACAATTTTGAAGTTTCCATCTGAATTCTGAGTTTTCATCTTGCAATTCTGTCTGGTTTTTTTTCCTCAGAATTCTGAGTTTACATCTTTCAATTCTGTTTTTTTCCCCTCAGAATTCTGAATTTACATCTTTCAATTCTGTTTTTTTCCCCTCAGAATTCTGAGTTTACATCTTGCAATTCTGTTTTTGTTCCCCTCAGAATTCTGAGTTTACATCTTGCAATTCTGTTTTTTTCCCCTCAGAATTCTGAGTTTACATCTTGCAATTCTGTTTTTGTTCCCCTCAGAATTCTGAGTTTACATCTTGCAATTCTGTTTTTTTCCCCTCAGAATTCTGAGTTTACATCTTGCAATTCTGTTTTTGTTCCCCTCAGAATTCTGAGTTTACATCTTGCAATTCTGTTTTTTTCCCCTCAGAATTCTGAGTTTACATCTTGCAATTTTGACTTTTTCTCTGAATGGAGTTTAGATCTCACAATTTTGAATTTTCCATCTGAATTCTGAGTTTTCATCTTGCAATTTTGTCATTTTCCTCTGAATTCTGAATTTACAACTTTACAAATTTTTTTCACAATTTGTTTTCTAATTTTATTTTTTTCTCACATTTTTTCACCTGACTGCATGCACTTGCAAATTCTGAAGAAAATAAAGTCAGAAGTGTGCTACATAAACTCTTGAAATAAGCAATTGTGAGTAGCAATTATGTACATTTTTATTCTGTGGTGGAAATAAGTTTTCATATGTGTCGGTGAATTAGAAAAGATTAAGCAACGGTTCACATGATGTCAAAAGCTTTTAAACTGGATTTTATGTCAATGACAATGTCCCTATATAAAAAGCACTATTTAAAACAACTACTATTAACCAATGTGCTTTACATAGCATAAAACACAATAAAAATGATAAATATCAGACCATAAAACAAATAACATAGCACTGCATCATCGTTTAAAAGCTATGGCAAACAAATAAGACTTCAGTTTTGACTTGATTTTATGGGATTTGTAAGTATTTAATTTTATATATATACAGGTGCATCTCAAAATCGTGAAAAAGTTAATTTTTTTTGTAACATTTCAAAAAGTGAAACTTTCATATATTCTAGATTCATTACATGTAAAGTAAAACATTTCAAAAGTTTTTTTTGTTTTAATTTTGATGATTAGAGCTTACAGCTCATGAAAGTCAAAAATCCAGTATCTCAAAATATTAGAATATTTACATTTGAGTTTCGTTAAATGACTATCCCTACAGTATAAATTCCAGGTATCTCTTGTTCTTTGAAACCACAATAATGGTGAAGACCGCTGCAATGGTCCAGAAGACGATCATCGACACCCTCCACAAAGAGAGTAAGTCACAGAAGCTCATTACTGAAAGAGCAGCTGTTCACAGAGTGCTGTATCAAAGCATATTAAATGCAAAGTTGACTGGAAGGAAGAAAATGGGTAGGAAAAGGTGCACAAGCAACAGGGATGACCGCAAGCTTGAGAATACTGTCAAGCAAAGCCGATTCAAACACTTGGGAGAGCTTCACAAGGAGTGGACTGAAGCTG